AAGTCAGTGTGTCTAAAGGTGGCTGTCGTTAGTGAGTCAGTAACCTTACACATATCAGCTAACGTCTCGTCAACCATTGAGAGCAGAGCATGAAGCATATGTGTGTGTGTGTGTGTGTGTGTGTGTGTGTGTGTGTGTGTGTGTGTGCATGTGTGTTTGTTAGTTGGTTCTGTGTTGGTTATTTAAAAAATTTTTGTGTGTCAATTATGTTATTATGTATTGATCTATCAAATACATTATGCGGATATCGATTATGGAACTGCTGTTTGAGTTTCTAGAAAGGAGTTGTTAGTTGGAGTATAGTATAGTGTATTGTGGCGTTGGGTTGCGTGGTGTGACGTGATGTGGCGTGGCTAGGCGTGGTAGAGTACAGTACAGTATTGTATTGCATGAGATGAGGTGGCATGGTACGGTATGGTGTGATATATTATGGTGTCGCATCGTCTCAAAGTCCAGTTACACGCACGCAGTACTTTTCAAAAGTCCAAGCATCAGTTTTGAACTTTTGTTTACGAAAGGACAGGCTTAAGTGGGTTTAGTGTCATGGTTTTCGAAACCAGATTTGAACAATACCCTTTTGTGGAATTCAGATTGGGCCACGTACCCGCCAACTCGACCTTACACCAGCCGAGCTGAGTAGCTGTAGCGCAAGTCCTACTGTTGCTGCACAGATCCATGGTTCCTACACGGTTTTTTTGGCAGCTTAAAAAAAATAATGTGATCCCTATATTTTGAAATGGTACAGGTGAAATGGTATAAGTTAACGGCCCTATCAACACTGTAAGGTTATTTAAGAGGCGGGACCTCCCAGTTTAACGTCCATCTCCGAAAGGACCGAGCCAAAAAGGAAATTCCTTTTAAAGTCCCTTTCCCAAGAACGTAACATCAGACCGAGCTCCAATACTTTGTTAGATTTTAGATAGTAATAATAAGTGACACATTGTGGCGAAATCAGGCGCTCGTCAAAATAATGGGACGAAAGATAACAGTATTTTTTTCTACGTTTTGGCAATTACTATCGATCTTTTTTAGGGTGGGGGGGGGGGGGGGGCGCAACATCTTTTATGTCCATTTAAAAATACATTTCGGTGTGGATTTTACTGGAAAAACGTAGATTAAAGAAACAGAAATGTTTTTTTCTTTCCAAAGACTCAAGCTTTGTAAGTCACCAAATAAATGCTGTTGGCCATTTTCTCGCTTCTTTTACCTCTGAAACCAAGTGACCCCCATCTCCCTCAATCGCAAATATTTCCATTTCGATTTAATTTAAGATAAATTATATTTTATACTTCGAAAGTTAGATAAATGAACAAGCTTTAAGATGACACCAAAAACTCCACATGCCCAACAACTGACGAGCGTATGATTGGCCAGCATCGTGTCACATATTAAACGCCCGGCACAGAAAAGGGAAAACATTACTCTCTTTTTTTAAAGTATGTATTGTTCTAACGATGTTCTAAATCTAACTTTTCTCCTTTAGTTAGTCCGTGTCTCTGCCTATCGTGTGGGCTATGAATTGCTTTGTATTATCGCTGACGTATTGTGATGTCGAATATAGGAAGACTGGAGTTTAAGGAAGCTCTTGTGACTGAGCATATTGGTACAATATCATTATATTTGTGGCGTCTGTGGTCAAGTGGTTAGCCTGTTGGGCTCGCATCATAAGGTTGCTGGTTCGGACTCCGTAAGGGATCCGACGTATGTCTGTCTGTCTGTCTGTTTGTCTGTCTGTCTGTCTGTCTGTCTGTTTGCCTGTCTGTCTGTCTGTCTGTCTGTCTGTCTGTCTGTCTG